CGGTGTCTATCACCTAAGAATCCAATATTGAGACTGCTTTATGTTTATGTTTTTATACTTGGCGTGGTCTTCCTGGCACCTTAATGCACTTTTAAGAAATCTATATAAAAATATCGTGGAGTGTTGTCGTGTCCAGTGCGTTGAGTCGCGCGCGAAATAGGAATGCTCCTTGAACAAGGATGCAGGAGGATAGGAAAGCAATAGGGAGATGAAGAAAGGAGGAAGAGGCGGAAATAGTCCGAAGAGAATTAGAGGTAAATGGAAGGAAGAAAGCAAAGTTGGACACTACTCGGATTGAAAAGTTCATTCAGATAGAGAGAAGTCGAATAAACGACTGTCGTATTCACGCGGACAAGATATTCCCTTCGAGAACTAAAAATACATTCTGTGAAAACAGATGGTCTTCTTGTTCAAATCGAAAAATTGAAAAAGTTAAATATTAAATATTTTTCAAATTTAACGAAAAGCTATCAATTACACGGGAAAGCTTTCGAATGAATCTTTTGTCTTTCATTCGTATCTTCAAAGAAATTATTCATCTTTAGCGAAATCAAGTCAAGATGAAAGATATGAGATTAAATAGAAAAATTTGACGGAATCTTTTTCAGGAAAAAGAAGAATTTCTGCGAATTTTTACGTTACGTTAATAACGGCCTTGTAACGGCCTTAAAAGATTACTCGGAAATAATTTACGTGAGAATACAAAAATAAGAAAGTAATACGATTGAATAAATTCTTTTTTTATCAGTTAAAATATCTGTCATTGTCAAATAATGAAATCATTTCTATATCTGTGAAATTCTCAATCTACAAAAAGATAATTAATTGTATTTATAATTATCGAGCTACTTTTTATAATGTTTCAGTTCTCATTCACCATTTTTATCTGAATGAAAAATCTGTTGGATTGAGAAACGAAGGAGAGCAAGAGGAAAAGAAGGGAAAAAGAAAAGGTAGGAGAAAGAGAGAGGGGGACAATATGAGAACGTTGTGAAAATTATGTCTGTTTTGGTCCCGTTTCGCATTGCGATTAGCCGCGAAACTATGCTTTCGAAATGAAACGATGACGGACAAGACAAACCAGGTCCCAACTTTATCCGCGTTAGTGAGCTTTTTCCGCATGAGCTTTTCCTTGTGAACGGCCGAGGATGAAGGCGGCTCGACCGAGATTTCTCCTTTCCTTTCCGCAAGATTCATTAATAGACAATAATAATATTAACGTTAACTAAATCTGAGAATTTGATGTCGCATCAATTAGCAGCTAAAGGGCAAATGTAAATTTGAATTAAACTGGGCGAAGTAGAAATCAGAATATTCGATTAAACTGAATCACTTCTCATAAACGTTCTTCGATGACTCTTTAAAACTTATCTCTATCTTTGAAGACTCAATTTTGAAACAAATTCAATTTTACAAATAAATTCTCGCTCCAACTCCCAGTGATTTATTGTTTTTCTCTCGCATAGAATTGTAAATAAATTTTCAGCGTTCTACGCTCTACGATTTTGGATGCTTGGAAGAGACGAGAGAGTCGCTCGAGCCTGCCTCGCAGAGCCCCGATATAATCTCGGGTTTGTCGCGTGCAGCTGTGGTTGCGCTAACAATGACACTGTCGTGCCGATACGTCGAGATCTGAACATCTTCGGGACAAAATATCGCGTCGGAAAGAATAAACGCTGCGAATTACAGCAACGCAACGGTACGTCGTGCACCGGAAGGGACCCCGAACCGCGTCGCTCGATAAATCCCAGATCTCAAGGATCCCGGAGCTCTTCAGATCCCGGAATTGCGTGACGTGCAGGGTTTTCGCTCGTGTCCCTCCCGGGGCGCCCTCCGGGACACCTTCGGTGCCTTCCCAGGCTTTCTCGTTCAACGTTTCGTTTTCGCCGAATAGTTGGAGACTTCTCAGTTAACACAATGTCCCAGATCGGGCGTAAAGACATCGTTAAGACGTCTCAAGGACGTCATATGTCCCGATTTGGGACATCCGTATTGTCTGAGTTCGAGCGAATTTCGCTGGTCGCTTTCAATAAAAGATAGAGAAATAAAAAGAAAAATAAATAGATGATAGTAAAAAAGAAGAAGAAAGAGTGTCGCAGAATTATTAAGAGCGAGAATTCTGAGGAAAAGCAATGGCTGTCATGTTTCTGCATAATCTACATTACTTTCCACATATATGAGCGATCGTAAATTAATGCAGGCGTACTTAACGCGGCGACAATTAGTAACGGCGAACGAAGGAAGCCTGGTGAACACCTCCGAACAGGAAGTCGTTGGCAAATAATTAGTTTCCCCATTGTCTGGTCAATCCATTTAATTAAGCCCATCCCCCCCACGCGCCGCGCCGTGTCGCCACCGCGCGGTCGCGGTCCCATTATAAAAAATCTTGAACTCCCTCCCTCCCTCCCTCCCACCCACCCACCCACCCTCTTCCCCTCAGTGGAAACGTAGCCGCTTTTTTGTACCCGTGCGCCATGTACAAGTATACACCTAACAGTATAATATCCTATGTAACCTACGGACGTTAAAGCGGTTATAAGATCACTTTGCATTCTCTCTTTATATACGGTTCCTGCATGGACACCCGTCGGGTTTTCGCGCCGGCCCTTAAAAGCACGTCGTTCTAAGAAACAGGATAGACGCAAGACGCTTGGACGCGAAGGCACGCCGTTGTACAAATGACGAGTCGACTCGTCGTCGAATTTAGCGATGCAGGCAGGCCGGGAGGGATGGGTTTTCTAACGGAAAAATAATAGAGAAGAGGAATGTATACCGGTATACGCGTGTACGCGCGCGCGACAATACCTAGCCGAAGACAATTCGCAAATTGGGTGCGATCGATATTATACATGTCCGGCAATTTAGACTCGATTCTGTTTTCTCTCATTTGAGTGCTCTTGCTTAACGCGAAGCTCGCGAGTTCAAGCCACTCAAATGTAGAAATTACGAGGGTTGTTCAAAAAAAGAGTTGTTCATACTCTGACCCATATGCAGGAGATAGGGACTTGAAACTCTGGTGATATTTAATATATATTCTTTCTATCTACTTTGTAAAATTTCAGCCTAATTGATTAAGTTTTTCTTTTTTTTTTTGTAAGTGTGATAAGCGCTACGTGATAAAAAAATGAATAAAACCGAAGTTAAAGTCATAAAATAACAGTCATAAAATATATGTTGCTAAAAAGTATGTCCTCTCAACAAATTCACGAAGATTGAGAGAGAGAGAGAGACTTGAAATTGAGAGATTGATTTGAGCTTTGAATCTGCTTCGGATGTGATGCCTTCTATGCCAAAGGCATCAAGGCACTGAAGCATCGATGGGCTAAGTACATTGAAGTAGAAGGGGACTACTGAAAAGTGATGACAAGAAGATGCTCGAAAGTCTGTCGGATCAAAATCAAAATACGAACTTATTGAACAACCCTCGCATAAGTCGCGCAGACCGACGGCGCGCGGCGCCGAATGTATGAAAATCGTATATTGTTTAAAACCGAATGTATGAAAATCATTGCGTACGGATAATCACCTTACGCGAAGATTATCGTTACGTTACCTCGGGCTGAGAATCGTTCAGCTTTAGTTTAGCTCTATGACGTGAGGTACGAATATAACGGCAGCCCTTTGAACACCTCCGTCGTCAGAAGGGTGAGAGGGAAAAGGACGGCTTTACCTTAATTAAACGCGAGGACTTTAAGAGCCAGCTTGGGTCACCTTCGGGCCAATCCTTGTCTGCATACGCGCTTCCTGTACATGCACGTTATGCCCGTCCGCGCTCTTCACGAGGTATACAGAGATACAAGGTGGAGTTCCTGTGTGTCGAATTAACATTTAATTATTAAGAAAACAGTTATTCAGGCACGCAAGTTGGGCAGGGGAGCAGCGCGCAGCCAGTGGAAGAAGCCGCGCGTACCCCGAGAGTTTTTTCCCTCCTTCCTCTCCGTTCGATCGACCGATCGAATCGATCGCGCGGACTTTCTCTCTTTCCGATCATCCTCAATTCTCTCTCACGACCTCTCACCCTCGATCGCGTGCTCCTGCCAAGATTGGCGAGTAAAGGGTCGGAAATTGGAAGGGATCGACAGAAGTAGGCGGTCGGAAGAGTCGAGAGATCGGATCGCGATCCTTCGCGGAAAACCGGAAAAACCAGATAATTGAGGAGTCTGGTGCGAAAAAGATAAATGCCGAGTGATTTATAGTTTACAGCTACATTGAAAAGCACGAATAATTAACGTTCCAATTTCTGAATCCGAAACCTCTTACGATCGCTCGACGCGCTATCCTAATTGGATCTCTAGCCGAGTTTTCGACGAGGAGGGGCTCGAAGGTACGCGCGGAACGCAAGAAGGCCCATCGTTAAACGAGTTTCGCACGGGAAACGGACGGCCGTGTCCGACCGACCTGGCTATCGCGGAACTGCCGCTTGGCCGCAGTGTGTCTTCGACAATTATATTTCCAGGTTGTGATCCGTGAGAAAACAAATCACGGACTTTAACAGTGCTGCTTCAGCCTGTACAGGCCTTCGTACAAAACTTTCGCTCCACGCAAGAAGCTTCAACTGCCTTATTTTGGAACTTACAAAAGAATCACCAATCGCGAGAAAGCTACGCTGCGGGGACTCCAAGAAAATTCGTACATATACGAATTAATTTATAAATCTGTGCGAAATCCGCTGTTAGATAGCGTGATTGGTAGCCCCCTTCGAAACAAATCTTCAAACCGAAAACGAGCTCGCAGTTGAAATTGCTTCGTCTAGAATACGGAACTGATTAGATCTCTGGCGATTAGATACGAACTGACCAATTACGATGGACTATCAAGTGGCTAACACGGACGAGGATACACTGCTCCAGACGAGAGTTTTCACATTCGTTTGTGCGAAGAGCCGATCGTAGCGCGATCATATATCTCTGGCAGTATTGTATCGTGCGATACGTCTTGTCGGCGACGTGCCAGAAACGATCGGCAACCCTCCCCGGGCACGGCCACGCGATGTGTAATCGCGCGCGCGAAACCGGTGAGGGGCCTTAGTACGAGTGCTGCGGCTGCAGAGACGAGACTCAGCTGTGCGCCGACGTGTCCGAGCCTTGGCTGTTGCCTAGCCCACCCATGCCGGCCTGCGAAGTGAGCCTGGTGGCCGACTGCGAAGTCGTGCTGGTCACCGTGGCGGAGTGACTGAGGCCGTAATGCCTGCCGGTTTCCGGCACCAAGTGGGGCGTACGGCTGGAGACGGGCGGTAGGACCGGGCTGACCGGCCACGGATGCAGGGACGTGGTGCTAGGCGCGCTGGGGACGCTGCGCGAGTGCGGCAGCAGGGGTGAGTTGCAGAGGCTGGCGAGAGGGTGGTGCGCGGCGGATGTGATGCTGCCGCCGCCGGAAACGCCCAGGCTCGTGCCCGACGAGATCGCTCCTCCGCCACCGCTGCAGCCGCCACCGCAACCGCCGCCGCCGCCGCTGCTGCCGGAAGCTGCCATGGCTACCGCGGTATCCGGATGAAGGAAGTTACGCCGCTGCTCCATCCGCTCGGCGTGCTGCGCCAGGCAACGGGTCAGCTCCTCGGGCAACAGCTCCATCTGACCCTGCAGTGAGGTCAGCTTCTCCTCTAGGCCGACCAGATGGTTCTGCAGACCCTCCAGACGCTCCTCCATCGTGTCGTGCCGCGTGCTCATGTCCGAGACGATCTCGTAGACGGTGTTTTGCGTCTGTCGACATGGACCAGTCAATATGTTAGAGAGGTCAAGAAGCTTATCTACTCGCGATGGACAATATCCCCTTTTGCGGTAAACCGATTATTTTACTATCGTGAAAAACTGTACCTTTCCTCTAACGATAAGTGAATAACGGCGAATAAATGATAAAACGTTATTGATTTTATAGAATTAAATTTCTTTTTGCAACAGAAAAGGAAATAACTGATAAAAGCTTCATTTGGAGGAAAGCCGTTCTATCTAAGCAGCCACCAGAGCTTTGAAACGTAATCCCCTTCAATCCCTTCCGTATGCCGCTGCAATATTCCATCGAACTTTACGAGCGGGCGGTTTCCCTCGTTAGCACCGAGCCCTCACCTTGGCCATGTCCGTTATAGTGTTGGCGTTGTCCATCAATTTACGCTGATCCATTTTCACCTTTCTGAGTCTGAAATTTCGAGGTAGTTGCGAGATAGGGCGTGATTACGTGGCTGGCCTAACTATCGGTGATCTAATACGGCACAGCGCCCGTAGGAGAGTTGGTATCGACTTACGCGTATATGGCCAACAGGAATTTCCGCTGATGGGTCCGCACGCGTCCGGGATTGACGCGTTTCACCAATCGGGTGTGCTTGTAAATCAGCCACGTTTCCCGCAACACGTTCGCCGCGGCGTTCTTCAACTGCAACAGAGCAAATGGCGTTTGTCACTCATCAAGCCCCTTTTAACGCTAAGCCCATCGTGTCGGTGGTTCTAATGGTCCCTGGGATCATATCAATATTTTATCGGAAATATATCCCTGTCGCTCTTAAGGCACTTTGAAAAGTTTTCAAGGTTTTCTACCCTAGACGATGAAGAGATCATTTATTACGTCCTCGGGGTTAGATAATTTTATTTATAGGATAAAAAGAATACCGGTCGTGGGATGTACACGGTGTGCCTTGACAATTCGAGACAGAATTATTCAAACTTACATTCGCTAGGTAAACATTATGCTATAGCATTAATTGCGCGCCTCGTTAACTATGATATTCAATGTCACGGTCTGTTATCCCTGTCAAGATCATGAGGGAATAATTCATGCCCCGATGGAAATGTGCATTTGAAATTACATTGTCATTTCCATCTCATACGGGTGTCAATTAAAAGAAAAATTGCAAGACACGTTTTTCGAGAACGTTACATCGCGCGACGATGCCATCGAGAAAAAAGTGCATATCCACGCCCGTTACGCAAATCTTGCACGGCCGAGAAGAAAAAAAAGAAGTGTTTCGAGAAGACTGACGTTTGTTTTGTTGCCGCGCTGATGGAATCAGATCGATTCCGCTTATGCAATGACGTGAAAAAAAGCGATATGCGTCCGAGGGTTTTTAAAACGGCATAAAAAGACTCGTCGATACGGTCACGTGTATAGCTCTACGTTACCACTCCTTGATATTTGCAAGGTATATAAATAAACGCTGGCTAATAATTATTTCAGTAGCCGTATGGTTGAAGGCTTCGATCCGGAGGTGGAGAGAGAGAGAAGCGACCGCGTACTTATGCAACCGCGCTCACGGCGCCGGCGGGCGGAACGCTCGATCCAATCTAAATCCTAAACGAATAGAATATTTCGAGCTCGGTTTAATTCACGCGGTTGCTCGGAATATTACGAAAAAATATTTTCAAACGTGTACGCTATTTTGATATGTTATTTTAACGATTAAACGCACGCAATCCAGAATATTTTTAAATAAAGTCTATCTTCGCGTGCGAAAGAATTACAAATTGCGGCATTAACTCTTCACTTCTGACATCGACCGATCGATTATGTCACGATCTGCGGAAACTTGCACAACGAGTTGTCAAGGGTCTCCACGTGGAAAGAGCAGCGATGGAATCGTCCTCCTTTTTGCCTTCTGCATTTTTCTTCGGATTCTAAATAGTTAGTTTCTGAGTTTCCCCGAGCCTGCAAGCAACGATCTGCGAACTCATCGATTTCTCTTTAAAATTGGATTGTCGTTACGGCCGTAACTTCCAAATCTCATATTCCAAAGCGCTCGAAACTCCTCCACCAAGTTTTTATATATTTCCGAGTTTCTAATATTCTCTCCGTTCAGGTCCCCACTGCAAGCGGCCGACTTTTCAACTTGCAATTTAGGTTCAATGAAACGCGGCGGTGAATTATGGCGCCTATTAGTGTTATAAGATATTCTGGAAATGAATTTTTCCGCGCGATTTCGGAAAGCACTCCCGAGTTGCTTCCACTGCAGGCGTTTTATTATCGCTTCTAGACTACTTCGCGTCGCCTTTTTATTTATTTAGAAGTCTGTTGAGATTAAATCGATCGACGTCACGTTCCTTTCGCGATGATAAAGGTAAAGGCTAAAATGACAATGACACATTAGCCGACTACATCCCACACGTCGATCTATTACCTGGATAGAAAATACACTGTCAACTTCGACGCTTTGTCTTATTCGCCTAATACGGAGAAAAAGTGTTCGAGAATTTAAGTTTTCGAATCAGAATTTTGGAATCTTCACGTTCAGAATATTTACATTTCCTATATAAGTTTTTAAATTGTATATCGCAGAATTTTTATGATTCTTAAGATGACACATTTTTATGTCGTTCTCGTAATATTTCGAGTTTTTTTTTTTTTAGTTAAATACTCAGATTTTCGAGATTATTACGGACTTTTAGATTCTCGGATTCTCGTGTCACGTTCTCTCAGATTCTCATCATAATTCAAGTTTTCGCCGTTTCCCTTTCTTGAATTCTGACATCCCGCCGCCGTGACTCTTAATATCGCGACACATTCGCGAGTCTGTGACATCAAAATTAAGAATTCAGATTGGCGACGAAGGGAAGTCCGTTCTGCCTAAAGGTCAAAGCGACTTCATGCAGTCCGCTTATTTCCGAGGCAACCTTACTCGCAGTGGGATACTTTCTTATTACGTGGCTCAGCCGGAAAATTACGTCGCGCTATATATATATATATATATATAAAGAGTGATATCCACCATCCTCTCATTACGTGCTTAATTCGCTTTCCTGATTCTTGCGGGATACTGTTGGCGAGTGTAATTTCGAAACCACCCTTGCAATTATGCCTTGCCTATCATTCTTTGTTTAAGAAATTCTATATCGTCTCTAAATGAAAGCTAAATATTATCTCTATCATCGTTAGAGGAAATTTTCACTGTAAATATCGAAACAATAACACAAAAGCATTAGAAACTTTGCAATTTAAATTTAAACAAATGTAAATTGAAAATCTCTCGAATTCTGTTAATAAATGCGTTAATTAGAAACTCATCAATTTTCATTTCTTCTACTATTTTATTTAAAACACGTTGATACTTATATCGTTTCATCTAAGAGCAACGTGCAAGATAATTTGAATAACTTCTTCTTTCATATCTACTTGTCGTCTTACTTTAGAAACTTATTATTTGCTATACATATAATTAAAAGTTGCCCTGCTTAATTCAGAAACTTGCGCGGAATAAATAATACAGCGAGAACATTGCATAGTTAATTGCTACAATGCAGAAAAGTATACTTGGATAGCTTGGATATTTGTAAAATTTCTAGCTTAATCTTCTGCGTCGTTCAAACAAGTATATTTGTTTAAATAAAAGGAAAAATTATCTCACATTATCTCACCATCATTTACATCAATTCTATTTAATTTCCTATATTTCAAATTACTGTTTTAAAATTAAATTTATTTATTTAGCAATAATCAGAGAATACTCTATATTATAATATTATTTTAATATTACTTTATTTATTATTATAATATATTTTAACAAAACTTTACGAAAAGTTTTGCAAAAACGTTGCGATAACGTCAACAAATAAACAATTAAATGCAATTTTTTTCTGAAGGCTCTTTAAGCTATATTTTAAGGGCCAAATGAATGTTTAAAGAAAAAGTTTCGAATGCGAAGAAATGCAGTTCATGCAGCAGGCATATATCTCTTCGCTATATCGGTCGATATAAAAGTGGTACGGACTATTATGGACTATTATAGATTAGTATATACTAATATGAGACCGGTATAGACTAGTTCTGGATTCTACGTACGTTTTCCGATTACTCGCGAATCTTTTGCAATCGTTTTTCTTTTCAACATATATTTTCCAGTTAATATTTCAGATTAAAATATTTCTGTACTAGGAAGCCTATTATGACTCCTATTGTATTACAATATATTAATAGGTAGAATATTGTTGCGAAAGTGTTGCGAGAGTTTCGCTGTGGCAGCGTAACTCCCTTTTTTCTGTGTATTATACGGTTACGGTTACACAAGGCTGCTATTAACACAAAGGTTACAATGCTAGAGCGGAAACAGTACAATTACGTGGGCAATGGCCTTACCCTTTTCGTTAATTGTGTGTCCATCATAAAGTTGTGCACGTGCTTCTCCGCTCGCGTAAGCTCGAGCTTCCTGGAGACGACCGCCACCAGTAGAGCGGTGCACCCGGCGCCCTGAAATTTCAGGAAAATGCAGATCTCTCGTGAGCTGCCTTTCACGTGAAATTTTTAGATTCTGAGACTTCCGCTCTCCGGGAAACCTTACGACTTTCGAGAAAAAAATCTCTTCCCTACTTTCGTCGATCTCTCAAGCTAGTCTCAAGTCAAATGTAACGAAAAGAGAGAATTATTTTATTTTATTCATGATACATCCCTGTAACAGTGACAGCTTCTCACGGTCCTTTACAGGTCCTCTAATATCTTTGAAAAGTCCTTTCTTTCGATTTCGAAAGTAAAAAACAATTGAACTTGTCAGTCAAATAAAAAAAAATACGGTGAGTAAATAAATGCGTATATTTATTTTCTGGATAGAAATTGCGATCGTCGCTGTAAGGAAGAGCTTTCGATGACATCCGATAACTACAAAAAACAACACCTCCTTGCAAGCTATAGAACGGGAATAAATAGGAACAAATCGTTCCAATCATATTAGTTGACCAATTCGATGTATTGCAGATACCAAAGCATGCCAAAAAATTGCTTCATATTATTTGAAATACATTTATTTCAAATAATATGAAGCAATTTTTACTACAATTATTAATTATCAGTTTACACAATTAATTGCATTATTAATTTAGTTGATTTTCTTTAAGTAAAATCTGTCTCATTAATCGCCAGCCTGTCTGTTCTATCCGTTGCAAGGGAAGGACGTTGCTAGATGAGATTGCTTTTCATTCGTTGTTGGATATTAATAGCCGAAACTTCAAGTGGAGAATAATTTCGCGCAATTTAGAGCAATCGAGAGCATTAACGTGAGAGAAAGAGAGAGAAAGAGAGAGAGAAAGAAAGAAAGAGAGAGAGAGAGAGAGAGAGAGAGAGAGAGAGAGAGAGAGAGAGGAAGTCTCACAAAGGCAGGGAAGGCGGGCTTCGAAGCGTATTGTAAATTGTGATCGCGACTGGACTTGCGGAAACAACTGTCGTACTCGGAAAGCGGAAGTTTTACGAGGAATTAGTTCACATCGCCGGAACCAGCCGCGTTCGAAGCTCGAAACGATAGTGCTAACGGAATTATCAGGGAACGCGAAGGAGGGTATAATACGGGAAGTGTGATGACTTTAAGGAACAACTTTGGCATTCCCCAGTGAGGGCGAACGGACGTGTGGCGTTTATTGCGTCCCCGCGCTGCCTTTAATTACCGAGCGGTTACCGGGTACGACCGTAAACCCGAAATCACCGAAACACGACGACGGACGCACAAATCACGGGCGGGCGATCTGCAACGGGCCGGCACACGAGCGAGAGATCGATCGATCGATCGTTCGCGCGCGTATCCCGCTCATTACGCCTGTCTGGCGGTAATGAAGCTACGGGTGCTTAATGCGCGAGTTACATCGAGTTACATGTTACATGCATGCGGAGTCGCGCGTCTCGACTCGGTTGCAGTCGCGTATATTGTGCCCCGTAGTTTGCGGTAACTACGGTATAAGGATTAACGACCGGCGTGCGATCGGTGATATGACGCGTGTAATGCGATGCTCCTAATTTTCGGAGGTCTTAATTATTATTTGTATAAAATTTCCAAATATTTTTCTTTGTTTCTGTCGCAGGGATTTCGTGTAATTCGATTTGAAAAATCCTTGGGAAACCTTGTGGAAACCTTGTGGAATGAATAAAAATTACACAATCTTGGTGATTTTGCAAATCCTAGGTTCTCTCAGAAATTGTGAATTAAAATTATTACTAATTTATATTTATAAATATAAATGTAAGCATTTATATTTATATTAATAATTTTTATTTATTTTATACTGTTAAATATTACAGAAATAAAATTTAAAACAATACCTTGAGTTAGATGACATCTTGTTATTTTTAACTACCATGTGTGTCGAAATTTATTATTTTAACACAAAATAGTATTATTTTAACTTCATTGGTTTATTTGAATTAACGACATATTTGATTGGAGCAGTGGCAACCTATTATAGGAAGTTAAAAATGACTCAAAGTATAATTGAATATAATTGAACACTACGAATTTAACAATGTACAGTCTCCTGGTTTTTTGTGAATTCCCTATTCCTATTTTGCAAAAAAATTACATAAAATCTCTGCGACATATCCAAATATTTCCTTATAGTTTAAAAACGTAATTTTAATGAAAGAAAAATACGACTACAGAAATTTTCAAGACAAATCCGATCTTTTCTGCAACGCGTTACGTCTCTCTTGCGAAACTGTCGTGTAAGCTTGACGGAAGACGTTATCACGTGTCTCTAGGTCGCAGTGCGGGGTGACATATTAGACGATCAAGAAGAGCTCGCGAGAACGGTGAAAATTGTTGCGAGCTTCGTTCCAGTTTATGTTCTGCCCTTACCATCATTCCGGTGGAGACGGCTATACCTCGACCGCAGTATGTGTTGGGCACGATGTCGCCGAAACCGACGCTCAGGAACGTAATGGCGATGAGCCACATGGCGTTGAGGAGATTTGCATGTTCCTCATCGTGGAACCTGCGGTAGCAAAGCGACAAATGCATTACTTTAATGACGGGACGTTCGCGCGAAGATCCTTAAACTCTTTTATGCCCGCGAGATTTCGAGCTTTAAGATACTCGGAATTTCAAGGTTTTAGATTTCTCAAAGAAGAGTGAAAGACCCTATATTCTGTAGAAACAGATAATCTCTTCTTTTCGAATTCCTTTTAAGTCCGAGGGTAGGTATCAAGAGTAATGAGATTCCGCGAACACCGTGTAATAATTTCTTTCATTACGTAAACGCGCTTTATATTAAATTATGGGAAAAGCTATCTCAGAGTCTCTATTTCAATGTCCTTGATATTAGAAAGACATTACCGCGTGGATAATCGAATTTCTTGGCCCCTCTTTTTATTGGCGGCTCGATACATCCGTTTTGCCGTAACCGGCGTTTGATCCTCACCCCGAGGGCTGAGCAAACTCTCGCCGGGGTGGCTACGGGCGAGTAATGCAGGGTGGAAGATAACATTATGCCCCCCGGCCCCGCGAGATTCATTATCGGGCGTAAAGAGGATTGGGGCAACAATGCGGGCGACATGCGCGGCTGTAATCCACGTCGTAAAGCGGCTTTAACGGCCCCGTTACACGGCCAATGTTACACGGTTTCGCCTTCGTGCGGATGGCGAAACCATCTTTTAGGGTTCATCGAGATATCGAGAGTTCCGGCCTTCGATATCTATAACGAGCCGATCCGTTTCGCTCGGCAACGAATCGTAATCGTGAAAAATTCTGTGAAGACGATACAAAATACGAATCACGCGTGTCTCCTAATATTTAATTTTGTTCCCCGCGTATTTCTTTTCTTTCCCGATGTAAAAAGGAATGCAAAAATAGGAGAGAAAGAGTCTGAGTAAATTTAATAAATCTTTTGATGATAACGGCGATAACATTTTACTAGCATAACGAAAATCAGCGATAAAAAAAAGGGATCTTTTTCGATGAGATTAACCGGTGTAACGAACGTGACCTTCTCGCATTCTTCCCAGCCCTACCTGGATCCGATAAAATTGATGACTCGCGCTTGACGTAGCGAACGGTCCACTCCATAGAAGCACCATGAAACGAATTATTCGCGTAGCAACGCTGATTGCATGACTGATTGTCGGCTGCGTACCGTGAAAATCGCGTTATTGTCGTGGAAATTCGCACGGCCACGTGTAGACGCACACTGAATAAAATATCGTTCGTATTTCGCGACAATTTCCGTGGTCCTATAATCCAAGCCGTAAAACTGGCCGCGGGGCCCATCGCGCGCGGCGGTGTTTACGCTGAGATACGAGAGTAAAATTATCAAATTGATTTTTTAATTTTGAATGCAGATGCAAATACACGACCGCAAAACTCGATAATCTCGAACCGCGCGCGTTAGTTGAATACCCGCACAGCGTTATTACACCTAATTATTCATTTTGTAAAGTGAATTTGGAGATGTTTATTTATATTCGATAAATAAACATTTTACGCAGCTTAGGATAAAATTAACAGCGGCGGCAGCTGATAACAATGATTCGTCAAGCATAAATTTATAACTACGTTATGCAAATAATGACATTAAACTTTATTAAGTCGTTAAAACAATATTGATTTAAATAAATTTTATATATAACTACTATACTAGATTATTTTACATAATGTATGATAAATTTGACAGTAATGGAAATTGCTAATGACGTCTTATGACGGTACGCAATTTATTATTTGTATAGAATCATAACTCGTAATGGTTAAACACATTTGTTAAATATCGCCAATAAAATCCTGGCAAAGTAGACATTTTAAAAATTACATGTATATTTCCGCTTATCGGAAAAATTCCATCGTTGATAAATTCGTATATCGCTATTCCACGTGCGCTCAATATTTACATAATAAAATTAAATATAACAAAATTACCAGGATAAACATTGAATGAAAATTGAAATTCCTTTCGTAAACACCGTTCCATTTGTTAAGCGGAATTTCCCGCGAGACATCGCGATATTCAGGGATATTCGCGTATTCATCCTGCGTACGTCGGAAATGTGTCGGAAAGCCAAATGTTCCTACTATTATCGGACGTATTATCATAATCGACTATCGACCGAAGGTGAAGCGCGATAAATCAAATTCGAGAGCCCTGTTTTCAACGATTGCCCTACGGGCAACAATTGAAACAGCCGGCCGCCATTGCCGCGGTTTAAAATCGCTCGCGTTCTGCATCGAGGACTCTCGCAGCAGATGCCAGCAGAGCCAGCCGATAAACACGTCGACACACATTTCGCCGAGTGATAAATATTTCAGTTAAGGACGTGAGAGGGAGACTTCGAACTGAGTAACTTTCGGAAAGACAGCGGGAAGAAGGATTCCTTTCCTTATTCGAGCTACCTGGTCGTAGAGATTCTTGGTAGGCGCGTTAGCATCACCCGGGCGGAGATTGATCACTCCTGAAATCGGCTATTTACGGGAAGAATTTAATTATCAGCCGGTCTCTCCGTTAAATCGCGATCGTTAGCCGGCGACCCCAATCGAGGATTCCACCTCGCTGCACCGGCGGAAGGACGCCCTGAGATTTATTATTATCGCATGATAGCGCGACGGATGGACGCGCTATTAGGTCGTAAATCAATCATCGCACGCAAATGAGTCGCGTCCATTGATCTGTATATGATTCCGAAATGCGTGTGTAATTGCTCTTCCTGCCTTCGAGTAATGGATCGTGTGAATAAAACGGGAACAACTGCTGTCGCTGCTAACAGCTTCATGCAGTTGTATTATGTCGCATATAGTGTGAGTGAAAGAAGAGATTATGTCATTCTGACAAAGGGCTCAGACATCGAAGAACAAACTAAGAAAAATTGCGATTGTCTTGATAACATCGATAGCTAGAAAGCTGTTGGACGTGGAGAATTAAAGGATTTTGATTAATTGCTCTGATAATAAAAGGAGGTGATAAATTCATTACTAGGATCAACAGCACGCAAGTCCAAAATCGGGACATGGTGCTATTTGTGAATGTGCTATCTGAGAATGTAATATAAGATTTTGTTAATCCTAAAAATTGAATGCATGGAGCAGATCGGTTTCTCGCGCGTGATTTATCTTCTGTGCCTAAAAGAAAGGTCGCAAGATCGAGCTCTTACCTCTCGCACTGTCGCAGTGTCCACGAAGCGATGATCCACAGGGAGACCATGAAGACCAGCAGCACCGTGCCCGGGCAGATGGTCATCAGAGTCTTGAGGACGAACCTGGTGTTGAAGTTGATGCGATTCAAGGCCCCTATGCTCCGCGACGACGCGTCCGTGAAGAGCTTCGAGTGCAGTAGCATCACCCGGCAGATGAGGTAAAGCCTGAAGAACATTGGCAGCGAGAGTGTGACGTCGTACGGCACCCACTTGGAGCCGATGTCGCCGTTCCTGTTCGCCAGCTTGGTCGTCCACAGGAAGTAGTATTCGCCCGGGATTGGGTGGATCGCGCAGATCGCCAACTCCAACGAGATCTGCGCGATCCTCTGCCAGGTCATCGCGATCCGCCAGTCGTCCGCGCAGTTATCGATCATGAACAACTGTCGCTCGATAAAAAAAAAATGGACAGATAACAAGGGATAGCGATCCCGCGAGTAAAACATGCCTGTCTAATCTAATGTTGTCAAAGTTTTTATATTTAAATCGGAGGAACACTTTTTTCGCAGAAATATATTCGAAGTAATAGGCTATAATTTATTGTTTCAAATATTATTTTTGATATATTCAAAAACACTTGATAAATACTTCAAGAATCCTGAAAAACATTCAATTTTATAATATTGCTTTAAATATTATTCTCGACGTATTCGAGCACTATAATAATATCCCGAGAATTATCCCGAGAAATATACGATCAGAAGATTTTATAATAATAATTATTTGACATAATATTTCTTAGATATTTACTTTAGGCTTTTAAGTCCCTATTATTGAATATTCTAATGAACTTTTATCGATAAATCTCATGAGATTAATATACACGATTAGAGAGTTAATTGAAACGTATTATCAATCTTTCGGATACGTGACGAGGCGAAACATGATTAAAAAATGTCTATTAAACCCGTCCATCTCGCATGATTATATCGCCGCGCGGACAAATAAACGAATAAATTAATCACGCTCAACCCCTCGACATTATCATACGCGTGGGTTGCAAGCGATTTTTAGGTATATCGACTGATATCGATCGCGCGCGAGATTGCCAATCGAGACAAATGAGCTCACGTATTCCGGATACACGAGAGTCCGCTCTTTGAGACCCCGCGCGCCGATTAATATGAATTCCAGCCGCTTTGCTTTGACTTGATTAAAACGCCACGCCACGTATTCATTGTTTATCGCCGTCTATCCCATTGCGAAAGATCGCGTCGTTGTTTCGTACACACGCCACCGCCATTCCGGCAACAAATCATCCTTAACTCGGTAACGATCCTGTCAGATCGAAAACGAATTGCGCTTAAAGGACCCTACACACAGCAAACACGTATTCGAGGCACGTATCGCGTAATTTGTATCGTATTGAAGTTACGGATTTTTGTCTACGCGAATCTTCGACGCCTCGGATTTTTATCCCATTTTCATTTCATTCATTTTCTGCTTAATCGAAGAGATTTCCACGCAGATGCAAACACATTCCTACAGATTCTTTATTTTATCTTCGATATTATATAGAGTGTTCTTAAATCTGTCCAACATTTTAGGAATTGATTTTTGAAGTCATTTTATGAAGAAAGTTTATGTGAATATATGGTCTCAAAAGCCACGTTTTAAAGACACAGAGTATTGAAAAAAATCCTATAAAATTATCGCTTTTTTTAATAGCTCCTAAACGAAATGCGATTTAGGACTAACAAATAGGTGAGATATTAATTTTATTTTCTATACTATAGCTGCCGTTTTGTAGATTGGTGTAGGACGCTTTTGCCTAATTGCTTTTGAAGGAATACAACTAACATAGGATGGTTAATTTTGAACGGCAATATTGAATCGAGAGCGCGGACGCAGGAATCCAGGAACGAGTCGAGTTCAGCATAAGTCGGATAGTCGACACTATGCCCAAGTTTGAGTTCCCAAGCTTCTCGCGATGATTTATCGAGCTTCTGCATAAGAAACACGAGAATATCGCTCCACTGTTCAACCAAACGCGTCAGATTTTCTTAATGCGGCAATCGCGGCATTCACTTTATCTCGTAACGCGCGTAATTTTTACACGGATTTCGCGTTGACAGTGGGCAAGATAAATAGTTTATTAAGGTGTGTACTAATTAATCGCCGTTTATTTTCGCAGCGGAACGAGAGAATTTGCCACGCAACGGCAAAATTCTCGGAAGTTAATGCTAAATGTTCTATAACGGCGCTCGCTTCACCCTTTAGACACGAGAACAAATGATGCAATCGCTGAACGTTTAATAAACTGGTTTCGCCTATCATCATTGAGTAAAAACGATCGCGGAAGCTCTCCCATTTCTCGTATAATCCGTCGAAAGTTGGTAGGGTGACCTTCAGCAGGTTGAGCGCGGAGTGAGACGGAAAGTCGAATGACTGACTTATATTGGCTGGAATAGCGTCCGGGGATGAGGAGCCCTCGTCGAGCTTTTCGTAGAGATAGTCCAACGCTCGATCGTAGGAATCCTCGCATTCCACGAATTCGAGGTCGGAAAAGTAGGGGTGCGACTTCATGGTCTTGGCGTCGGCGATGACCCGTAGTTTGGCGTCCAACCCTCGACACTGTTCGAACCTCTCCTTCGTCGTTTCGATTCGCGCCATTGCGGCCACATACGTCATCTTCAAATGTCCTAGTTTTTTAAAGTTCGCTATGGTGTTTGTCACGGAACTGATCAAAGACCGCTGCTTGTAAATCATCTATTCAAAAGACGACATCTTGGCAGTCATTACCACTCACAACGATGAAACCACTCGAATTACGCGACGAATCACTACCGTTCCTTTATTCAACAAAAAAACCTCAATCCCGATCCGACTCGAAGGACCAAATGTTTCGGAATGGATTCAGGAAAATCAGGAGTGGAGGAGGAGCAAAGAGCGAGTAGTGACCGTAGACTTTTTGAGTTGATACCGAGCTTTATTGAACGTTGTTGAATCGAGTCGGACGGTTGTTTATAGACTTTGATTCGGGAGGGGAGCGAGAAAACACATGGAAAATCTTGACTCCGGCTTCTCGCGGCTACATGAATCGGAATCGGAGATCTTCTGGGAGAGAGCCCGATGGAGCTCCGGGACCGACGGAAATCTTGTCGCGATCCGGAATTGCAGCGACCAGAGCGCGTCGCGGAGACGCGAGAGAGTAGGACAATAGTCGACGGAGCTTAGACAATTTCCGGTCACCACTCGGAGCACGCGGCGGGGTGCACAAGACACTTTTTAGCAATAACCGTGAGCCTCGACTGACTCACTGACAAGAGGACAGGGCCAACCCCGGCCCCTTCGGTATGCGCGAGCACTGATAAATCATCTCCGTGCGGCGTAACCGTCGCGTGAGCTTCGCGCGGCTCACAATAGCACGGGAACTCTCCAAGTCTCCGATTAGAACCTTTATTTACTTATTCCGGAACAGGTTGAGTGATTTCAAGGTAACGCGGGCGTCCCCGCAGAGAATTGCCAGATAATCCAAGGTACCCTACAATGCAATATAGACCGGGGCTATCGCCTCGAACGAACCCTCACTCACGCAGGGACGTCAGCGTGGTAACCTTAAAAGAAAATGTCCTTCGGGGTAGACGATCCGGAACGGCTATCGGTGGTGCTTTCGTCTTCCCGTTTGACAGTACAGTCAGTACAGTGACTGGGCCCGCCGGGATCACGCCGGTACTTCGTCAGGGCGTCCCTTGGGGTTTCTCGGATTCCTCTGCGACGGTCGAGCTCAGGGTCGTCTGTCATACGGTGGCCTCTGATATTGCGCTTGCGAGGAAGTCCAGGCGTGACCCGACCGACGGCCATGTCCCTGTCCCTCAGCCATCTCCTTGAATGCGTCCTCCGTTCGTTCCCTCGTGGCAACTCAAGGTCGTTACATAGTGACGAGGCTCTACGACTTTCCCTCCATCGCGTCGCGAATCTATCACGGCTCCTTGGCCTGCCCCGTGGTAATTGGGGGTCGTTACATGGTGACGAGGCTCTACGACTTTCCCTCCATCGCGTCGCGGATCTATCACGGCTCCTTGGCCTGCCCCGTGGTAATTGGGGGTCATTACATGATGACGAAGCTCTACGACTTTCCCTCCATCGCGTCGCGGATCTATTACGGCTCCTTGGCCTATCCCGTGGTAATTGGGAGACGATATGAGGCATCGCCCTTCTCAAATAGGCTGCACTACAGCGGTGGCACCGGAGTAACGTGACCCCCTTCTCCCCGCAACCGTAGCAAAATACTTGCCGCTTGAAAGGGCAGTCTATGAATACATGAAAGGTTGACTGACAGTTCCAACAGGTCCGTTGTCGTCGATCTCGAGCCTCTGGCAGGAGTACCCGTCGCTCGCCCCACCTCTTCGGTGGCTCCCCGATCTGTATTTGGGCGTCCCGCCGCTCCGGGCCATCCGCCTGGGTAGCGGCGGTACCGGTTTCCGGTTGAGCCTGCGTGGCCGTATTCATCGTCGTCGGGAACTCGCGGACGCGACGCTCTCCTCCGTCCACCGACATGAGATTGTTGTAAGACACCGCCACCTCCTTCAAATCGGTCCAGAAGCCGGGATCTCTTAGATTGATAAAGTTGATCACCAGTTGGTGGCGAATTCCAAATTGCCTTAACAGATGTTGCATCAAGCCCGGCAGCATCTCCTGGTATTTTCTCAACCAGGTATCTCTAAACATCGTAAGCAGGAGGGTGATAGGGCTTAAGATCTTGCACGTAAACTTTACCAACGGGTGATCCGTCCGGCTGAGGTAACACCTCGTAAACTGCCAGAGAGATCACTCGTTTTATTCGGAGTGGTCCCTGGAATTTCGGTGCCAACTTGCCAGCCACACCCTGTGTAGCGGAAGATAACACATGTTGTCGTCGTAACACTAAATCACCGACACGAAACTTACGCGGCCGCCTGCGCAAATTGTAGCATGCGCCCTGTTTTTGATTTGCCTGGTCAAGGTTTTCCGCCACCCACTCCCTAATGGCATGCAACTTCGTCATACGTTGTGACCATTCCGCGGGATCTCGCGCCTCCACGTCAGCAGCTTCATCCCTCTGATCGCGCAAGAAACTGGACGGCGTCACTGAACTCGCGCCCGAAATTCAAAAAGGCGGGAGAGGTACCTAACGACGAGTGGAATGCGGTGTTGTACGTAAAACGAAAATGCGGCAAATGAAGATCCCATTCCCTGTGATCCATCTCTATGAAAACTACTATCAATGTCCTTAATACGCGATTGACCCTTTCCATCGAATTCACCTGAGGGTGATATGGAGGTACGGTCGTGTGCGTGATTC